CACCAAATAAACCAGCCCGGGGGTCTCCCCGGTGTCACCCATGGGTGCTGCTTCTCCCCTGGGGACAGTTGGGGACGTGGAGGGTTGAGGGGGTGGTGGGTGGGTTTATGTGTGTGCGATGGGGAGGGGTGTGGGATGCAGCACCAGCAGGGCAGTGTTGGGGTGCAGGGGCTTTGAGGGGGGGGCAGAGCATGTCAGCCTGGGGGGTGTTGCTGTGTCTGGAGCTGGAGGGGCCCTCCCACCACTGCCCACCCCAGAGGCTGGGCCAGGGCACTTTCCTGGGACCCAAAGGGGCACAGGGGGACCCCTTGGGCACCCACCAGCCCTGTCCCCCCTGAGTGTCTTGGAGACACTTGGAGACTTGGAGTCTTGGAGAGTGTCCCCCCCTGGTTGGTGGGTGTCCCCCCTTGATGGAGGGTGTCCCCCCTCCTTGGTGGGTGTCCCCAGCACCCCGTGCTCCCTCCTCCCCATCACCCCTGCTATGTCTCACCAGGAAGGTCCCAGCCGGGGTCCGGGCACAGCGGTGGCCACACCAGGATGGTCACAGGATCTCCAGGCTCTGCTGCCCCAGCCCTGTCCCCAAGTGTCCCCTGCCAGCCCCACACTCACCTGCTGGGGCAGAGTCTTTCCTCCTCCTTTCCTGTCATCTGAGCCATCTGGAGCCCCTCACCCTGGCATCCCTCCCCTCTCCCCAGCCCAGCCACGGAGGGGATCCTTCCCCTCTCCCCTTTTATACCATCCTTGTTCATATGACAAGCACGTGAAAAAACCAGAGCAGAGTTCGGAAAAAAGCTCCTTAAGACGCTTTAATTCAGTTTCCTGGATCCCATGACTGAGCTCGGCCTAGAAACGGGGTCTCATGACCCTGGCACGCAGGCCCCGCTCATCAAAAGCCTCATTTATGCCCCAAAAGAGCCTTAAACCCCTCTTGGCTGGTCACTCAGGGAGCCCCATGTCCCCTGTGCCCAGCCCTGGTGTTGGGGTGCAGTGGGTGTCCCCTGCTTTGGAGCCAGGGGTGTCCGGGGGTCCCTTCCACAGCCAGGAGCACCCATGGGTGCTGGGGATGCAGTGATGGGCTCCAGAGCCTCCCCTGTCCCTGCTGGGGACTTCCCAAGGACCGTGGGGATGCCCTGACGTGTCCCCTCCCTGGGACACGCGGAGGGACCGTGGGGACAGTCTGAGACAGGCCCTGCCTGTCCCCTCCTCTGCACCCTGCCCAGACCCTGGCGTTGGCAAAGTGTCCCCCCCCCCAGGTACCAAACCCAGCCCAGCCCCTCCTGCTGCTCCCAAACCCTGGCACCAGCCCTGGGGAGGGAATTCCCATCCCAGTGGCTCCTGGCACCAGCAGCAGGGACAAAAGTGCCATCCTGGTGGCTCGTGGCCCAGTTTGTCCCCACTGGTGGGGGACTCTGTGCCCGGGACCCCCAAAGGCAGGGCTGGCTCCTGCCTTTTGGGGACCCTTGCAGCTCCCACAGCTTCTCCTTCCCTCCTCCTCATCCCCAGGCACCGCCAGACCCTGAGCCCTTTGGGACCAGGGGCCAAGAAGGATCCAATCCCAAAACCCCCCAGATCCCTGACCATGACAGATCCCAGCCCTTCCCAGGCCAGACTCCCTGGCACAGGAGCAGCAGCTGGAGCTGCCCAGCTCACCAGGATCCCACAGATCCAAGCTGGGTCTGAATTTTGGGGAGAAGGTTCCCCATGGGACAACAATGTGTCCCTATAGACAAGGAGGCCAATGGTATCTTGGGGTGCATCAGGAGTGTGTCCAGCAGGTCAGGGAGGGTCTCATCCCCCTCTACTCAGCCCTGGTGAGACCTCACTTGGAGTGTTGTGCCCAGTTCTGGGCTCCCCAGTTCCAGAGGGACAGGGATCTACTGGAGAGAGTCCAAGGGAGGCCACGAGGATGATGAAGGGACTGGAACACCTGCCTGAGGAGGAAAGGCTGAGAGACCTGGGGCTGTTCAGGCTGGAGAGGAGAAGCCTGAGGGGGGATCTAATGAATGTCTCTCAATACATGAGGGCAGCAAGAAGGCAGGGACAAGCTCTTGTCACTTGTGCCCTGGGACAGGACGAGGGGCAATGGATTCAAACTGGAGCCCAGGAAGTTCCAGCTCAACATGAGGAAGAGCTTCTTTGGTGTGAGGGTGACAGAGCCCTGGGACAGGCTGCCCAGAGAGGCTGTGGAGTCTCCTTCTCTGGAGACTTTCCAGCCCTGTCTGGATGCCTTTCTGAGTGACCTGCCCTGGTTTTGGTCCTGCTGTGGCAGGGGGGTTGGACTGGATGATCTTCAGAGGTCCCTTCCAACCCCTGACACGCTGTGACTCTGTGATTTTCTGTCCTTTTGCTTTTCTTTTTTAACTGAGCCACAGGAAATACAAACTCATCCCCAACCACTGCCCCCGAGACCCCCCCCCACTGGTGGTTCAGAGCTGCTCCGGGGGATCTGCAGCCCAACAGGAAGCAGTTGTAAGAGGATAAAAATCCCCTGGGTGCAAACAAACCCTCTCTATGGCGGGATTAGGGCCCCGTGGGGCTGATCCAGCCCC